GGGTGTGGGTGGGTGGGTGTGTGTCCAGGCAGCTCCACTGACCTGGTGCCACCTCTGCAGCCTACAAGATGGTGGTGATGGGCAAGGATGAGTTCTAGCTCCGGGTGGTGGACACAGCCAGGCAGGTAATGTGGGGGACCCGGGAGTGGCCCCAGGGCCACCCCTGGCACTGCTCCTGCCCTCCTCCAGGATGAGTACACCATCCTGCCCCACTCCTTTGTCATCAGCATCCACAACTACGTCCTGGCGTACTCAGTGACGTCCCTACTCAGTGACGTCCCTGCGGTCGTTAGGGATGCAGCCGCTCTCCCTGCTGGGTCGCCCCCATGCCGCTGGGGCTGGGTCCCCTCGGCGGACCCCGGCGGGGGCAATGCTTGGATCTCCCTGTAGCTTCCAGGTGGTGAAGACCCTTCACAACAAGCAGTGCGAGAGCTGGGGGAAGATGCAGTAGGTGCTGACCCTCCCAGGGAGGGCAGTGCCTGGAGGGGCCGGGCCCTCACCCCTCCCATGCCTGCAGCGTGCCCGTGGTGCTGGTGGGGAACAAGGCAGACCTGTCCCTGCAGGGGTAAGGAGGGCTCTGGGGGTCCCATCCCCTCCTGCTGTCGTGTTATCCGCCCGTCCCCCCTCCTGAGGACCCAGTGGCCCATCCTGCTGTGCCTCCGGCCGGGAGGTGAAGATGGATGAAGGGAAGAAGCTGGCAGAATCGTGGGGGACCATCTTCCTCAAGTCCTTGGTCAAGGAGAGTCAGGGCTGGGGCAGGGAGACAGATTCTTCCTGGGTGCTGGGGCTGATGTCCCCTCATCCCCAGGTGATCTTCACAAAGATCGTCGAGGAGATGGACCAGGCAGATGACACCTACAGCAGACTGACCGGCTGCCACCTGACGTGAGCCCTGCCCGGGGCCGACGTCCCATGGGACCTTCCCCCAGACCACGGCAGCGGCTTTGAGGGGTCCGGGGCGACGTGGCCCTGCAGTTGTACAGGACCCCTCGCTTTGCACAGGCTGTG